ATACCATAACCGTAATACTACAGTACTTACATACAGTAATATTACAGTTGCATTGTGGCATTGCCAACCATAATATTACCGCTTGTTGCTGCTTCATACCACCAACGCCAACCTTCCGGCTGCAGCATTGCCAACCCTCAAATGCAGTCGCTGGTTAGCTTTCATTGTGTGAACGCGTATGAGATTTTGCTCTCGCAAAATAGCTTTGCGGTGCATCTGTCTCTTATACACATCCAGATGTGTATAAGAGACAGGTGTTATCTAGACTGTCAGCGTGGGAGGTTGTCTGCCGTGCGCGCGGGGGCTGCGAACAGCGAGCCGCCACTCCTCTAATTTAAGTTCGGCGTTCCCAAAACTCAAATTACCAAGGTAATTTAAAATTGATATGTAATTGCACCATGGCTACCTAAGAAATTGGTAGAGACTAAGTCTTGTGTAAATGAGGAAATTAAAAATGAACTGATTCTAAAAAATCTCTGGTTTGTCACTATGTGACAGAATTATACGTTAATACTGTTTGCTGCAGAATCAATTATTAATTTTTGTATCTTCATTTAAACAATAAAGATGAAGCTCAATTTTTCTCAAACTCCATCTTAGGGTAAACGCGGTATATTCCGACATCGTAGGTAATTCCGTAACCTCTCCAGCTTTTCCTTTATATTAAGCTTTGTTTTAGTTCCATGCGTTCATTGATGGTTGAAAATTGAAATGGTGACGTCATACATTTGCATGTCGAAATACTGCAAAAACACTAGGTCTTGGCCATCTAGTGGGATTACAGGATGGAATTCTAATTTCGGAGGTTCATATATTATTTCGATCCACCAAAACCACTTCTTCTATCCAACATTGTTATTTGAGGCAAAAAATGAACTTCTTAAAGGCTTAAAACACGCACGCTAACTTGCTCAGTTTCTATAAAGTACCTAATCACTTGGAAGTTGTAAACCTGCATCTATCACCCAACAATTAAAATTAGACTTATAAAAAGTATTAGTTAGTTGAAAATTTGTCTCTTAAGTTGACTGCAATGAACTAAACTTCATTAAGTAATTATAACTACGCTGCAAAGCAGAGTTTCACACACACGCACACTAAACATCATGCACACTAAACACACAATTCAGAGTTCAGACAAACAGAACTATATATCACGTGGGCCAGCTTGCAACTGAATTAAATAGGTACCTACTAACTTATTTCCCGCTCCCGGTGCATTTCTAGCGGGTTGATCAATCGTATACTTAATTCTTATACAATTGTATATGAATTACGAATTAACTAATCATTCGTATACTTAGTGCAAGAGAATGAATAATTATGTTGTTTCTGATCAAACAAGCGAAAACTTTTTCTGTTTCTGATCAAACGAACGAAAACTTCTGATCAAACGAACGAAAACTTCTGATCAAACGAACAAAAACTTCTGATCAAACGAACGAAAACTTCTGATCAAACAAACGACAACAAAGTTTTTCAAGATAATTCTGAAATCGTAAGCCGTAACGTCTATTGAATTCTATGAATTCTAATACGGATCGTTAATTTTAACATCGTATTTCCAAAAATCAATTATTACATTTCTTTTAATTGAAAAACATCCTTTTACATAAAAAAAAACGAATTTTTTCTTACAGCTCCTCAGGAATGATGAATGAATGCTCCTCATAT